CATAATTACACGTGGTATTCGTGAAACATATTAGATCGCTTAAATCGTGGTCTAGTCCCTCGCATTTCACTTCAGTATCATCTCACATTGCGTTGTTGTCATCAACATAAAATACCGTTCGACCGCTAATTCCCAAAATCCCTAAGAATGTATGATGGATGTTTAGCGATATACGATAATGGGTATTTCTATTGCAAAATCATTGGCATCAATATTATTCGACCGCTAAATCATCCTGACATCCAATGCATGGTGGTTGTTTACAGACACCACTTTAGCTCCGCACTCCACCGCGCGTATCAGACGGTTGGTTAAAAATGGGCATTCTGTAGAAGGCCAGCTAACGCATTTCACGAAGCAAGTTATTGTTTAGCGGCGGAACCTAACGCTCCGCCGGCTGGCCAGCTTTACGGAGCCCTTCCGTGTCATGCACGCGGTAGTGTGCGGAGCTAAACTGGTTATTATTAACACGTTGACGACATCGCGTGTTTTGGCATTTTGCACCGCGTGGGACAGGAGCGATTTTGCGAGCGCGCCGTCCTCACCTTACTTCCGCTTATTTTTTGTTTAAAATGCACAACAACTTGAATCTCATAGAATTATTTCGGCAAGGATGAAAGCATAAAGGTTAATATATAAATAGCAGTAGATTTTTGTTTAGAAGAACGCATAATGACCACGAAGAAGCAAAAAACATCACGAATGAAGTTAAAAGCATTTATGCCTAAGTTCTTCCATCAAATACAAGATATATTGAAGCTCACAGAGTTTTGTGTTAACTGCTACCAATACAATACATTTTATATTCAGTTCCAAGAGAATACAAAGAAAATGGGGGAATGAACAGAACTGAGGAACTTGTAGAAGTTAGAAAAGCTCTACCAAAGTAAAGAATACTCAACCTTCCGGTCAACCACAGCGTTTCTTGTCACGCTGTGATGTGTTCTAAAACATAAATGCAATAAATCATAAAAGAAGCAGAGGATATAGGTAAATAAATGTCCAGTTGAAATCTTCATAGCCTCTATCATGTTCGTGCTTATATTTTAAGTCGTTTCAGCGAGCACTCAGTAAGACCTACATGATGTGTGTCTGTATAATTTGGATCTATTAACTAGTTGTTTCTTAGTATATATCAACATGTCTATAAGCTAATTTCCATTTATGCTGTCTGATTACTTCATGTGGATTGCGCTATACTTGATACGACAGAAATATTCGCTGTTGAATCTCTTCTCATAAGGAGTTTAGAAATGCCGTCATATTACATATTTTTGGATGGATTTCATAGGCTTCTATTTTGATGTCCAAGTCTAGATAGTAGATAGTTATATCTCGGATGAACCCACTATATTCCTAGGTATTTGTAAATTCAAATTGTAAAGTGTTTGCACATATTGCTTAAGCTTTCATAAAATAAACTTGGATTTCTGAATAATGTGTGTTAAGTATGTCATCTGTATGTCTTAAATGGTTTAGCTTAAAATAGCTACTCTTTTAATGTTCAAGAGAGTATACATACACCATGCAGCCACGCACGCTGCAGCGCGCTCATTCTGCTGTTGGCGTTTTCGAAATGGGCGCCAACCACGACCATCCCCCTCCCCTTCCGCATGAGTCACCCCCATCACCTTAGCCTAACGCTCGCAAACGCGGTTCTCCCAAAGCGCGCACTCCCGCACCTTAAGCCGATGACAGACTTCGCGAATCGCGCAGATCGCTAGTTGCGAATCGCGCGAATCGCAAAGTCTAACAACGGCCTTACGCTCCCAACCCTGACTCTCTTCCGTCCCATGCTCTCTTGCACCGTCTGGCGCTTGCTCTCTCGCACTGCACTGCTCCCCGAAGAGCATAGCCCGCGTCCCACTTCGCACTGCGTGCTACCTAGCGACATACAAACACACAGACACACATATATACAGAGATACTTAGCCACTTATAGTTAGTAAGTAGAGAGCAGCACAAACCCTGCCTAGCAGAGCACTAAAGTTGCTGGTTGAAAAGGCTGCTTCGAGACGGAGAGGGACATGAAAAGTTGAAAATACCCGTTATCGAATGACTGTTTTCGTGGTCATGTACAGTCTTATGTAGGCTTACATCTTGTTACATGGGATATAGAGAACGAAAATTTTTCTCGACTCAAGCTCACCCGTGGCACAGCTAATCAAGTGGAAAATTTATAGACTGTCACATTTAAAATAATCAGATAAGAGCAAAAACAATATAATTATATCATTATTATTTATTATTGTAATTCCACAGATATTGAAATAAGGGGGTTTTAGGGTCAACATTTTTAATCAAGAAACCAGCCATGGATTACAAATTAACTTATAATTACATCACCACCAAGCCGGAGTGCCACAAAAGTGCACTTGCTCAGTTGTTCTCCACAATATGCCCTTTGTAATGTGGCGGTCCGCGGTTATGTTACAGCGAATGGCGCTGCTAGCTATGACATGCACATCAAGGGTTGGTCTTGGGTAAATGCTAGTGGATCAATATGTGAATGCATAGCTAGAGAGAGTATAAAACCTCTTGAAGATGCCTCCATTCTGAGAGAAGTTACGAGCAGGGAAACTGTACATTTATTTCAACCTAACGGCTAAGAGCATCCAAACTCCTGCAAAACCGCATTCGACCTGTTGTACAAGTATAAAGTAAGTGTATTGAGTTGTCCCATAATTCCTGTCCGATTTTTGATCAAATTCAAATTTCTTCAAGTCGAATTAGTGTCATTGCGAAATATGTTGGTATGTCAAAGAGTGCATCTAGACCGTTAGCCAGGACATTTTGGAAGGTCAAACCCGCATCGGAATAACTGAGTAGAAGTCGAAATAGATCAATGACAATAACGAACGATTATGCTTTATGATCCTCAAATAGACGCTGTTGCAAGGAGGACACTAGAGAAGATCAGCGCTGTGTTTGGCTCAGTCTCTGCTACTGATCGGTCACTGAGCTAGAGGTTCGGTCGCAATGGCAAAGACAATACGAGCTGTGAAAATCAGCCTCATCCTGGGCCTCCACTCACTTTCGATGAGGACCCCTTGCGCCATGGATTGGAAGTGCACACGGACGCTACTACCAGGGTATTGTAGCAGACACCTGGGCGCAGCCGATGCACCAGCACACGCCATCAGGATGGAAGTGGGTGCAGCAGAATGAAGACTTGATGGAAACCATATGCACCGACCAGCCATGACCGAGAAGCAGGTCTGACCCTCTGGGGGAATTTCATTCTGTGACCTCAATAGCAGAGCTTCCCTAGTTGTCACTAGTGGGGATGAGTCATGAGTTCACTACGACAACAACACGCAGCACGCCTGATGGCTACCTCGCAGCCAGGGCTCACCAGCTCAACCAAAAGCCCAAACTCCATGGTCAGAGAATACTGCTTTTGATTTGTTGGATTACGTGGGATATCCGTTTTCACACTTCTGATTTGTTGGATTACGTGGGATGACCGTTTTCACACTTGTTTTGCTATATGCGGACAAGTATTGTGAATGCCATCGTGGAACAGCTCCCGGGTTGGCCGCAGTGGGAGAGAACCGTCCTAAACGTCCCAAAATCCCCTTTCTCCGAATAGACGCCCGACCTCACATTGCAAAGATAACTCGCTACGTTCTGAGGGAAACTGGCTGGACCACGATACCATGTCCATCGTATAGCCCTGGCATCACTCCATCGGGCTATCCCCTTCACAGTGCCTTGAGGCAGCAGCGGCGAGAGAAAAAGTCACTAAATACAACCACTCCAAAAACGACCTTGCTGAATTCTTCAGCTCATAGCTTCACCCATTCTAGGAGGAAAGCATCCAAAGGTTCCCTGGTGAATGGATGCATATCGTGATTATGATAATGGTTATATTTTTGATCAATTGGTTTTAGAGGAAGATAAAACTCGATGAGAAGAAAGTGTCGAAATTCGGACAGGAATTATGGGACAAGCCATCAGAATGAGGTGCACGGGTCGACGAAGATGAGTCAAACCTTGAGAAAAAGTTATCAAATCGATAAGGTGACCTCTTGGTTTCAAAGGCAGCGATGCGAAGTGGACCACAAGTGGAGGAAAAGGAAAAAAACGTCAAAAATACGGAAAATACGGACCTATTTGTTCTGTGCCGCGGAGGAGCCTAAGACAGCAAGATTATAACGTGATTCGCGGGGAGGGAAAGAACTTCGATTTGAGAGAGAGCGCCATTGGTCAGCGTTATGGCACAACTAAGACATGAAATGCTGTCCGCTTTACAAATCTTTCTTAGCGTAGGAGAATCCAAGCCCAACCGTCACAATGACGCACTTATGGGCACAAAAGTGGTGCGAACATTGTAGTGGTGATTCTAGCAGCTTTATCCGTGAAAGAGTTTTCTGCAGTGAGGCTGAGCCGACCACTGTCTCAAAGCCATCTAGGGCGTCGGAAGAGCTTCCCTTCCCAACTCGCCAGCATTTCTAGACGCCAGTCTGTTCGCCCTTTATACAATCTATACCTCTAAAATTACGAACTGAGAAAGACGTGTGATGATTGAAGAAAGTAGATAGAATAAAAGCGGCCGTGAAGCGAGAATAATAGATACTGTAGCATTTATCTTTTCTTGATGAAATAATCACAATGGTGAAGCATCAATTTTTTCTGGTAAATGGGTTCAATGGCAGAGAAAAGTGCAGCTTCCAAAGCCTTAAGCAATGGAAATCATTGGAGAGAAGCGATGTTATTGTACCTAACACTAGCATTGACACAAAAATCCAACAAGACTCAACAACATAAAATCAATGAGAACCTAATAGAGTGATTTGGAGAACCTAGCCGGTAGGAGAAAGCAGGTGATGAAACAAGTAGTACTTCATAAGATGAGTAGGCGACATCGACAAGCATGTCTTGATTATGAACGACATGATAACTCCAAAGAATAAATCAACTGCTCGACAACTAAATGTGTATGTACACGATACGAAAAGGAACCGAAGTGGATAACGCTCCTGCCAGTGACGATACGTTCACAGACCTCTCAGAGGCGGTGTCACTGCCAGTATCACATCACATGTCTAAAATGATCAATGCAAGATTCGTCAAGTAAGAAAATATTTGAGAATTGAAAGAACTCATCAACGAGATTTTCGCTGAGCACTCAGGAAAGGTGAAAGTAAAGTTTGGAGCAGAGGCACTCACTGTTATCTTATCCTTGGTACCAGAGAGTACTCCCACGAGGAATCGAACCACGGACCACTTCAGCATCCCTTTTTGTTATTTAGGGCCGTTTAGGAAAAAAGAACCATAGCTCTGTAGTCTCGCATATGCCCCTGTGTGATCAAGAAACCATTTTGAAAAAGCTAGGCGCTGGGACCTTTTTGGTAAAGCCCGTTCTTCATTTGACAAAGAATTTAGTTCCTCTTTGAGATGACTGAACGACGACAGTCGGCTCCTCTAAGAGACTGTGTGGCACCTTCCCAGACTTTGCCGCTCCTCCATTGTATTTTTTCAAAGATTCTTGTTGGCTGCTTGCCAGTTTGCCTTTCGTGGCAAATTTTTAAGGATGGCGTGCGCAGCGAGTGTGTACTAGACAATGGTTCACGGGCACGAGCGAAATGCGCAAATCAGAGAAGAGCGTGATAAGCAGGATTTTTATCACCAGATTTTCAACATACGGAGAAGCTCCTCTAGCTCCTCAAAACTCAAACTGGAATAAAATCAGAGGCTTGGCAATCCAATTAACGCGTTACCTGATCCTTTCGCTTTCGATGTCCTAGTAAAGCCAAAATTTTCCTGCGAATGTCACCGTTCAGAGCCAGCATCATCCACGCGTTGACGTATGAGAAGAAACAACTAATAATGGGAAATATAACTCTCATGGTGTAAATTGGACCGTCCTGAAACTGCTCGATTTTGATGTGCTTGAAAGAAAAGACCACGTTTATCTCTCACCACGTTGACGACGGTTTCGCTGGCTGTTTCTCTGACTTTTTTCTTTGAAATTTTCTGGCCGCGTGAATTTGACACGATATCACGTCACATGGGACACCTTTCTTTAGGGAACTGTTTATTTGTTCTACCTTGTGTGACATGTGTTATATATCGCGATTTCAGCATTTCTATCCTATTCTATAGGCGCCTCCAGGCAAGCGCGCCTAACCGTGGAGCGTGCCTTCAAATCGCGCGATAGAAATGCTGAAATCGCGATATATAACACATGTCAGGCAGGCGGACAAGTGTTGTTGTCGCACCCCTTTTGCCGCTTGAAAGTGCGCGACAAAGGCAAGCTCGTCCGACCCGCAACTCACACCTTCGTCCGCAAGCCCCACCCTCCGCTGTCGGTTGCCACGTGGCGCTGCTTGAAAAGCGCGGGCGCATTTGAGGCAGCGGTCCCATTGCGATCCAATGTCATTGGCACTGGAGCAACTAGAGTTAGGTTCGTGAAACTCGTCCAACGCGCCTCTTCTCTATCCCAAGGTGGAATGTGGCTGAAATAGGGGAGGTTTCTGTACGGGGCGTAATCGGTGGTTTCGTTTGCTTTCCTTCTCTTTTATAGACCACCTCCCACCTCTAGTATCATGACTGAACGCTTTTAGACACCTATTTTATCCCGAATCTTGCCTTTAAGAGCGTGTGAAGCGGGCTCAATCTAAGGCGCGAAGAGGAGGATACTCTCTCAGAATTAACTCTCAGGTAGCTCCAGCTCGTCGACTGATTGTTGGATTGTAATCGAACCTACATACGTATCCTACATCACTAACAGACTCGTGGATTCGGGAACAGAGTCAACCCTGCGTTGCGCAGTTCTCAACGGCCACGTTGCGCAGTTTCGCCCGATTAGACACGTTCTCTCGCGCGAACATTCACACTCGCATGCTCGAGCCGTCTGTGTCTCCGCCCATACAGCGTGCGTTGAGGATCTCTCAACGTGCCGTTGCGAACTGCGCAACGCAGGGTTGACTCTGTTCGGGAAGCAAATAAACGTTCACAGACGACGCAGAAGCTGTCACAATTTTGCAAGATCGAGGAACGTGCACATGATTAGTCTTTCATTTAAAGTGTTCTCACCCGTCACAGAAATTATCAACATGCATTACATTGCAGTGTTTGTTTCAGTCTAAGTACAAAAAGTTACTAACTAATAGCGGTTACTAATCTCATTTATCATTTATCAATTCATGCAATACTCGAGAAACTCGGTAACTCATTAACCAAATCTTCCTTTTAGACATCATGCGTTTTGTTATAATTGTTATAATGCCAAGCATGACGTACACAGTACATAAAGAAAGTACACAAGGAATTTCCTAAAAAGTTCAAAACAAACTTAAAGGCAGCGATTACGATAAAGAGGAGCGCATCGGGGAAGCATATGCACCACACGAATCAGTTACTTGGCTGCCAGGGAAGCGAGTGTGGCGCTTTCACGACGAAAGGTGCGCTGGTTGCTGAGCAGGACTTCGAAAGCACTCCGCCCCCAAAAGCGATCCGCCCACTAGTTTAGTTGGTGATTTGGACGAGCTGCGTTGCCAGCAGCGGCACAACTGGAGCACTCGATTAAAGCGTGGTTTGGCATGGTGCCACCAAACGCGTTGCGTGAACTCGTTCATACGTCCGCTTTCTGAGCTGTTACCTGTTCATGAGTGAAAACCAACGGCAAAAAAGTGGGTCCCGTTCTTTTAAACAAGGACACCATATCACACGGTCCCGCGCGATCATGAAGAACTTGGCAAAAAGCGTGTTCTTGGCATGGGATCACTTCCACGCTTGCTGGAACGCTTGCTTCCATTTGCCAAAAACCCTTATTTTATTTCATTATTTCACCTACAAACATAGGTCTTTTTTTGTGCTATTTCGGCGACGACCACTAGCAAAGCTTGGAAGGTTCTCTGTCTTGGCCTTCCGCATACCTTACTAGGAGCGGATAAAAACGCTGACATATGTATACAACTGATACTGCCGCAGACCGAAGCACATCAAACACTACCACGACCCTTCATGGAAATGGGATGCTTGGCCTATTTTTGAATGGACTAATCAACGGGTTAATTTTCTTCTTACCAACCACCTATTTTAGTCTAACAGGGAGATCTTCCAAGATATGCCCAGCATTTTCGAAACGGTTTTTTGCATGATATAGAATTACGGCATGGAACACAGAACTGTGGTTCATTTTTCCTGAGCGACCCTCTGAATACATACCAAAAAAGGAGCGAAGAAAAATTTCTTAAGGAACTGCCGTTCTTAACTTTCTTCACCAGTTTTTTAGCCAAAGTCTACGTATAAAGGTTGCTGATGGTCCTAATTATAGATATGACATAAGTTGTTTACGCTGACGCTATTTTTCGCGAATTTTGAAACGCCAACACAAAATGCAAAAATTTGTCACTGCGAGGATTCGAACCACGGACCACTTCACCCCTTTTTTGGTATTCAGAGGGCCGCTCAGGAAAAATGAACTACAGTTCTGTGTTCCATGCATGTACCCCTATATCATGCAAAAACCGTTTTCGAGAAAGCTGGGCATTTCCTGAAAGACCTTCCTCGTAAGTACTCCAGATGGTGGATGATAACGAGT